ACACTGATGTTGGGGCCTGGGAAAGGAAGTTTGAGTGGTCTGACCAACAAACAGGAGACTGAAGGAGAGAAAGTTGGATCTAAAATTATGTGGGCCTGGAAGTTGGCAGAGTACAGGCAGAAGGATATGATGAGGAGTTGTAGTGAAAAATGGGATCGATTGAACAAGTAAACTTGGTTTAATATGAGAAGCCTGAAAAATAGAAACTGCAGTGAAAGGTAGAGTAATGAGGTGAGGATAGAAGAACAAAGCTAGGGAAAAATAAACATCTGTACCATCTAGGACACACTTCTGGAAAAGTGGCAAGTTCAAATGGAAAGTAGCTTTGCTGTCGCTACCTGATAGAAGCTAGTTTCTAAAGTGTTAATCATTTCATCCTTTCTAGCTGGTCACCAGATGGATGAATATATGTTCAATAGAGAGTAAAGATATCCATTGCACTGTTTGCTGAGGAGTTAAAGTCTGTATTATAATGCCATATCAGGCTGGCAAGAGGAAGTCTTCAAATTGTGTGCATGATAAAGCTACAGCCTAAAAAATCAGGAAGGTCAAAAGCTGGATTATTCCAAAATAGAAACTCTTCCTGTAACATTAAATTACTCTTCTCTGTATTATTCATCAATGTATAACTATTGCAGTGCAATTTTTAATTACAGAATTGAATGCTACGCCTTGGACAGGAATCCTGCTTTTACAGTGAAAGCTAGACTGACACTGGAAATTAATCCATGCTGGACAGTGAAGGATATTGCTGGTGCAGAAATGCTGCACTGTTTGTTGCAGTAACTGTGTGATTTTGAATGCCACAAGAACATGTTGGATGCGGCAAGGAGGAGGGGGAAAATTCTCATTGAAAGCAACTGATATTGCCTCTGGAGTCGGACTCTATCCTGCATCTTGACTAGGCGTGGAAACTGTGACAGCCATTTTAATCCGTTTTCACAAGTGTGCCTCATTTTTTGGATGTCAAAACTGAGACTTTGAAGTCAAATTACAGAAGTTCTGAGCTCTCACAGCTGCAAATGAAGTCAGCAGGCACTTTTTTTTTTGAGTGCTGTGTATGTTAAGTGCTCTGAAGAATAACGTCCTGTTTGTTTCAAAATGGGCAGTGAAAAATTACAAAAACTTTTCCTTAGCCTATATACACTTGTTCCCCATTTATGACAGTGTCCTTCACTTTGTAGTCAGAATTTGAAAGTGATTGTGTGCAAAGCACTTACATACTCTAAAAGGAGTACCATAAAAACGCCTATGAGAAAATATCTTTTCAGAACAATTTTGAAGTGCAATTCAATAGCTAAAAGCAAAAGAACTGTTCACTGAATTAGGATAAGACGAAGAAAAATTAATGGATGCTGCTCTTGTGAACATAATCCATCCTTTGCACCGTATGATGCTGGAATGGTGTAGAAGTATATTTTTTTCATACAGTTAAAAATCTGCCACAAAGAAAACCACCAAGCCTGATTTTTAGTCAATATTTTGTTCTGACAGTTCCTTAAACTTTTGAAAGTTTACCTTTGCAGCTTCAGTACAATTTTCACTGTGAATGACTGAGACTTGTCTTTGCGACTTAAATAAAGAGCTTTCAGCCAAAATATAGATTCATTTTTGGCTGTACATATGCCTTTGCTTTTGATGTTTATGGTCTCAACAGTTGTGTTAGTATTTTTCAATCATCCATTATCAAAGGCATAGCAGAAGAAGCAGTAGTCACAGTTTTCTCTGTGTGAAACTATTACTGTCCACCAAACTTCAGCTAACCTTGAACTCATGTTTCTTTGTTAAAGTACATTCCTCAGTCTGTGTTCATCATACGTTTTAATAAGTTTACATTAATACTATTTCTTTTTTAACAGATCTGATTGTGGTAATAGCCTCAATTATTGTTCTGAGCGTAGGATCTAATGGGCAAGTGTTTGCTACCTCTGCAATCAGGTATGTTCTTCTACTGTTGTAATTCTAACAACCACAGAGATTTACATTCAAAACTGTGGATGTCACTATGCTTGGTCACCACTTGGGAAACAGTATAGAGACAAGGCATATGGAGAAGGGTGTGAATGGTGAAGCCAAGAGGAACACGTCCTTCATAAAACATCAAATAGCTCTCTTGCTGAGACAAAAGAGTATTACAGAACATCAGTTTATTTAAGAAGTAATAATGCACTTGATACTTTTTTGAGTACAAATATTTACTCAAAGTATAATTATGCTTTAGTGAGATTGTTTGGCACAAGTAACACATACCATAAGGGAACCAGAAATATTTGATGTCTATAGTGCTTGTTCAGCCTGTACCAAGTACTTCAAACTTGTTTTGGGAAGTAAACTGAATAAATAATGGAAAATAATGATAAGAGAAAGAACAGGAAGTGCACCTACTCCAAAGTTAACTTGCAAGATGTACTACACTTCCTCTTATTAATCTTTAATTTCCACTGTAGTAAAATTACTGGGAAGTGAGAATGTACAGTACTGTAGAACTTGGAGTTTTGTAGAGAGCGAACTGCATGTGAAGGTGTTTTTAAGACAAATATTTAAATTTTAATTAATCTAAGAATTAAGAAGGAACAGTTGTATCCTTGCCCTTGCTGTTGTTGGTTTTGAAGTATGCTGTCATGATGCTGTTCAGACCACCTTCATGCCCCAGAAAAGTGGAAAAGCATGGATCCATCCACATAAGATTGTTCTTTTCTAGAATTAAGTTAACCTCCAAACACACCAGATATAGAGGAATGACTAACTTCTGCAGCAACCAGTGAAACTGAAACCTAGCGGAACTTCAGGATCATAGAAGAGTCTTGGTCCTTACTGATTAAGCTTACCAAGTTAATAAAAATGCTCTTTCCAACCAACTGCTTTTCTTTTCTTTAAGAGAGAGATAATGTGCATATTCAGAGGCTGTGTATCTCAAGCTTTTGTTCATTATTTAATTTTGTTTTTAATCTATACTTGTAAGACTACTAGCATGTAACATGGACATCACTCTTGGTGGATGTAACATAATCAGTAAGGGTCTTAAATACAGCAGCGATAGGAAAACAAAGTGCTGGGCCAAGGTGTGAAGAGGTCCATCTACATGTAACTCTCCCTCCTTCCTGCATCAGCAATCAATCATCGGTTAAAACATGTAAGTCTATTAGTGCTCATATGCCTAGTAGTCTTGTAATTCTTCTTTTATCTAGGTTTTAAATAAGTCATTTTAAAATAACCAGTTAAAGTTTTCCAGTTAAATAAAATGTTTCAGCAACAAATGAAATAAAAATCACAGTGTTCCTGTAGCCAGTCACTGACATAACTGTAATGCTGTAGTTATTATTTATGTGCTTTCACAAAAAAGCTCAAGTATTTGACTGTTAGTTGTGAAAGCTCAGAAAACCTGCTTTTTGAATGACAGAAAATTTGGATTTTTTTGAAGACAGTATACCTTCCCATTTTACGTAGCACCAAAGACTGAAGAATATCATCATGTTGAGGTAGGAACCTGTTGATATAGTCCAGGAGGATGCTGCTGCATTTAAACTGAAGTAAGGCTGAAGTAAACGGAAGTAAACTGAAGTAACTGAAGTAAACTGAAGTAAACTTTAAACTGAAGTAATTTCAGTGAGATGGACAACATGAAAGGACTGTGGAACGAAAAACAAAATTGTAGTGAAATATTTTCAGTTTGATTCAGATGTAATTCAGCATTCACCTTTTCCTTCTCTTTACGGTCTGGTTTCAGTGATAAGGCAATAGGATAAATTTAGGAAGATGGAAAATACAGTGTAGAAGAGTGACTAGAATGAAATATTAACATATATTTGAATTTTTGCTGAAGAATCATAAGGATAATTATTTTTCTTGAGTTGACAATATTCAAAGTTTGATTCAGTTATTATCCTAAAATCATAAAGAATTGTTCCTATTTCCTAATTAGATGATTTCTATAATGTACATAAAGTCTTGAGTAATTTCATGTCTAATTCACATTCTTGTTTTGGGAAAGCAAAGCTGGAAGCATCAATTTACCTCGGAAAGGAAGTATTTGAGAATCAGGTTCATTAAAAAGAGGGAGAGTGTAAGTTTCCTAAGTTTAAAAGCATATATTAAAAGATTGTTTGCCTTTAAAAAACAAACAAAACCACCTAATTGTTATACTGCTCTGTCCTTCTGAATATATTTGAATAGTCTGCAATGCGGTCTAGATACTTCACAGTGAAAGGCCTCAAGTCCAAGATGCAACCGTAAACAAGAGCAACAGCCCCACCCTGCTATAATATGGTAGTACGTAACTGAATGTGGTCAACTGTGTATAGATATAGCAGTATTGATCTCAATTACTATTTGTATTTCGTGTCATCTTTTCTTGCAGGGGGATCCGCTTTCTCCAGATACTTCGCATGCTTCATGTAGATCGGCAGGGTGGCACCTGGCGACTACTGGGATCGGTCGTTTTCATACATCGTCAGGTACTAGATGTTAAAAAATCCCTAGCATTTTGTTTTAATTTAGCACACTCCTTTTCTGGATTTCAAATTGCAGCCTGGTTTAACAGCCTGATTATTAAAATATTAAATATAATATAACATGCAGAGAAAGTGATCTTTTTTTTCAAGGATGTATGTAGTCAAGCACAGAGGTAAATGTGGCTATGAATACCTATTTGTTTGAGACAGTCATTTTGTAAAGGAATGACTTCAGCAGGGAAAACAAACTCCATAGTTCAGACTTTTTTGAATGACCCTCTTTTTAGGGTTGCATTGAATTTGTTGACTGTAGAAGGATAGTTTAATGCCTTGAATCTTTACATGAGGATTACAAAGGAGGTTTTTAAATTTATCTGCTTGATATATATATATATAAGCTTTCACACTGACATTGTTTTCATTTACTATACATCGTAGTTAACAAACTGCTTTTTCTAGTGTCATTTTGGTATGGGGAAAGGGAGCTAATTAATCAGAAGTCTCATTTAATACCAGAAGTTTTTTTGTGCTCTTTATTATTTTCGCCATTACTATAAGAACTGTCCTGAAGAATGTGCTTCCTGCATTGAAGCACACAAGTCCTGATTTTAAAATACATCTTTTAAAAGTGATTTAGTATCAAGTTGACTTTCATCCCATACAATAGATGGAGTTTAAATGTCCTAAGTCAGTGTGGTCTTCGTTTATTATGATTACATTGCCTGGATATCCAGCTAGGAATACAAATACACTTTCTCAGCAGCTTTCTGTGGTGTTCAAAGTTATAATCAATAATCTAGCAATTGCATCTCCAAAACATAACATTTCAGCCTTAAATGTCACAAATATGAAGAAGTTCAAACTTGTTCCCAAATATGAACAAGTTCAAATATGAACAAGTGCTAACAACTACAAAAATAAAGCACACCTTGGAGAAGCTGATTTATAAATAAATGTACCTGAGTTTCTGCTTATCCAAAGAAGTGATTATGTTGTTATATGAAATGCTTCAGATCTGTAGTACTTATCAAAGCAGGTCACCCACTAATATAGTACTGTTTCATAATCAAACACACAGTTCTGTATTGACATTGGACCAAAAGGTAAATGAAAGGAAAATTAAACCTTGATTCATCTCCAGTCTCTTAAAACATTAAAAATCAAAACAAAACAAACCCTCAGCTGATTTTCCTTTGAGAGACAAGGTCCTTATTTGTTGAGTTTGATACTCTTTCAGAACAAAATAGTACCATAAATCCCTAAACAACCTGGAAAAAAAAAAGTGTATCTCTTTGGACCAGTGAAAATAACAAGCACTTGGACCTCTGTGGACCCGGAATACCTCACTAAAGTTTTCACCAAAGCTTTCCATGTGTTTTGGAATTTTACATATAGCTGTATTAGCTCACTCAGACCTGATTTGGCTAGGACACTCTTCTATTTTCAGCAAGCTGAGCTTATACAAGCATTTCTCGCCAAAAGCAACAAAATATGACTCAATATTACATGTGGTGATAGAAAGACATGGAAAAATCATACAGCTCACTGAAAAAAATGAGTTAACCAATCCTGCCCCATTTTATGAGCCTACTACTTGGTTTTACTTATTCCTCACCTGCTTTGTGAGCTCTCCTACTGCTTATAATAGGCGGTCACTGATTAGGTGTAGTTTTTCATGTTTTGCTTTTTCTTATGTACTGAATTTTATATTGTGTGGTACTTGCTTTAACTGAAAACATAAAGTTGTCCAAGTAAAATGTGACCTAAGTCTGGTGATATTAAAATTTACATATGAGAACATAGGCTTTTTGTTCCTGGTGTTCTTGCATTTGAAAGTCTTCTCTGAAAATAGTCATTAAGCAGCATTCTTTAGTCATTAAGCAGCATTCTTAAGCTCTTATCTATAACAAATTCATATTAATATGAAAATTTTGAGTTTTAAGGACTAACTTCTGCAAAGCCCTGCTTTAAGATGATGTATCAATTCATCCTATTGGTACTGGTAGATAATATTCCACCACTTCACTGACTTTCACTTCAATAATACTCCACTGACTTTCTTGAGGCATATACTATTTTAGTCTCCTGTATTGTCTCTTAAATGCACTATGTGTTAGATTGCAGCTACTATTATTAAAAATTAAACATAGGCAAGTAATACTTTGTCTTTGCATACATACGCTACTTTTGGTGGCATTTAGAATCAGTCTAAGGAAATTGCCTTTGAATCCAGATTACAGTTTTTTTTTAAAAGAGTTCAATCTGAGTAGGACTGAAACTGAGAGGTGTCAATAGTGAAAAAGCCAAAGTAGATCTGGTGATATTTCCGTTATTTTGAAATATCAATCATGAGACTGTGTGCAACAGTTCTGAAAAGCACATTTTTCTATCCACTTCCTAAAAAGTCTCTGACTCACTGTTCTGAGACAAAGTTCAGAAAGTAGCAATGGCCATTCCTCAATTACATGTGACTTCTATTGGTTCTATTAGTATCTGAGATACTTATGAAGAGGAGTTAAGATTGCTATTGATATGCTAGGAATTCACATAATCTTGAACATTAGGTAGAATGTTGCTTTTGCAGGTAAGGAACAATAACCAGTATCTGTTGCTTTTGAGATTCTCTACTGATCGCTGAAATTACAGGTATTAAAAAATATCCTCTTGCAGTGAGGAATATTGTTTAGGCAGATCGAAAAGCTGTGGAAAATTAGGGAAATGCAACTGTAAATATAGAACCTTTAAATATCCCGAGTAATGCATACCTACAAGCACATAGGGTGCCACTATCCTTAGAGAACATGATGAAAAATTCGTGCTCAGTGCAGAAGTCTGAGCTACCAAAAACGCAAGTTTAACTTCCTCTTTCAGCTGCCTGTTTTAGCAAACAGATCTACAGAAAAAGTAGGATATGGATGGAAAGACAAAAACTAAATGCTTTTTTTTTGTGTTAAGAGAAAAGAGTGTTAAGAGAAAAGATACCTTCTTTGCTTTATGCAACGTTTTTTTTGGTTAAAACCTGCTGAGTCTAGATTCTTATTAGTGCTATATAAGAAGGAAGGGTATACATAGTCTAGGTTCCTGCAGCAAGCAGGCAGTAGTTACCAGAGCTACTTTTCCCCAAAATGCTGTTACACTATTTTCAAGGGTGGGAAAGGGGTGTTGGAAAACTCTTTGAACGAATTTTATATTACACAGTTTAAGAAACTGGAGTGATGTGTTACTGTGAAAAGATGGCATACTTTGTAAATAGAGGGAATTCTTTTTAGACATGTTTTGATTTTTTGATTTACATTGTGGGAATTTAAAAAATTCTCATTGTTTTCAATCTAAGGAAAGAAAAATAAGTTGCTCAATTTGAGCAGAATGCTGATGAAGACATAGTCCTGTATCTTCCCATTCATGATGTGTTTCATCAGAAATATAGCTAAATATGAGCAAGGGAAAGGCTGGAATAGTGTGCAAACCATTGCAGATTCATAAAACTTTAAGTAATTAAAAAAATCCCTCAAAATTACATTTTTATATTCCTAAGAAATAGACGAACATCTGATTTTCATTATGATGTAATGCTGTTTTTATAAGCTTTACATATTTTATCAATCTAATACTAAACAATGACTTGTTTAAATGCTGAAGAACAAGTTTTTCCAGAGTTGAATGATCTAGTTCAAGTTGCACTGATCTAGTTCAAGTTGCACCATCACATTGGTTTTGATACACGATTCCTATCCAAATCTGAAAAAAGCTATATAGAATTTGTGTCATTCAGAAGCACTGTATCATGCCTTTGCAAAAGTGTTTTCTAACAGGCTGGTCTAGCAATTAAACTCTGCAAGAAATTGGCCCTTCTTTTTCATGACTGAAGAAGGCATTCTATTTGTCTAAAATATATTGCAGTAACTTAAGATGATTCTGGTAATATATCACTGTTCAGTCTTCAGTAAGCTGCACATCAGCTACACAAGTTCATTGCTTTGATACAGTCACAGTCACAAGTCAAATGCATGGTTGTTTCTTAGGAATGGGTCCAGACATATGGTTTGTTCTGCTGTTGTTTTTTAATGTTTATTTGAGCATACTTTTCATAAAGTGCATGTCCTAAAGCTGTATTTTACTAGTTTTTTAAAAAGTACTAATATTTGGTACTTTGAGGAGGTTATTAAATGGAAGCATTTTCATTTAAGGGAGGCTAAACAGGAGAGATGTCCCACCTAATATTTAGCTGTCTGAATGATTTGAAAAAAAAAGATTGCTTTTATTTTTTTTTAGTCTAATAAAAAAGTCTTTGTCATTAACTAAGTCATTGACATATCTATTTAACTGGAAATAAGTTTTATACTTGAAAGTGTAATTACTTAATATTGCTATTGTGATGTGAAATGATATTTAAAATGGCTTCCAATAGAGTTATGATTTAAACATGATGTACCTGTTTTTTTCTCTTTTAATAGGAACTCATAACTACACTGTACATTGGATTCTTGGGTTTAATCTTTTCATCCTATTTTGTTTATCTTGCTGAGAAAGACGCTGTTGATGAAGATGGAAAAACAGGTTTCTCCAGCTATGCTGATGCCCTTTGGTGGGGTGTGGTAAGTCTTTACCAGCAAAGTGTGTAGTCAAACTCAGTGTGTAAGACTTGTTCAACTTGTGCTTTTTGTTTGAGAATCTGTCTGTATTTTTATTATTATTATTTTTGATTGTTGGGGAGGGAAGATTTTCTTCTTTGAAAAGGGTATTCCTTTAGGGAACCTCATCTTAGTAGTCTTTAAATCCTTTACCACTTTCAACACTACCTGATTTTATGCAAAAACTGCATAAGTTTAAAGGCATGTTATGTTTCTGGAAGCTGAGTTAATGATTCTACCACTTTATTTTTGGATCGCTGTGTCTAAAACTCCTTCTCTCAGTACTAATGCAGACCTTGATGCAGACTACAAGTTTCTTGAACTTATTATTTTTTAAATGATGTTTCCATGATTTACTGTAATGCTGAGTAACTTCATCAAAAGCAGGTGACAAAGCTTTCCAGATTCATCAGCAATAATCACAAGTCAGTCAGAGCTGCTTGTTGTGGGTGGAGAGAGGGATCTTGATGAGGGAACCGGGAGTATGAGAGAGTTGAGGTAATTATTATATTAGTGTGCATGCCCAGAATCAATTGAGAAGGGAATGGATAGCTATGAGGAAAAGAATAAGAAGCCAAATTGCTTATCCACTCCCTTCAGGCTGTTCTCCTAAAGGTTCTTGCTGTGTCTCATGTTTTCCCTCCCTATTAGCTGTTGCATGAGCCACTTTTGTTCCTGTGGTCCCTCTTCCCCACTAGGCAATCTCATACTTTATGAGTTGGCTGTCTCATTATAACGAACCTAAAGAGGTTCATCACATTGCTGTTAGTGGCAGAAAAATGACCAGTCTTGAACAGAGCCACCAACTTCCAGGGAGAGAGGGAAAAAAAGGATGTATTTCAAGAATGATCTGAAATAGAATAAAATATTTGTTCTTAGATCATAGCGATGAAAATGACAATATATTTACCAGGCAACATGCCAGTTGTTTACCTCCACCCAAATGAAAGAAATAGACCATTTATAACTTATTTGAATATGTAATTAGTAAAGGATGGCGATTTATCTTCTTGCTTTGTGCAATGTGCATTTGGTGTTTCATACAATAACTCCTAGACCTTTAGTTGCCAGAAATGTCCAAATGCAGAGCTGAATAGGAGGAAAGAATAACTGCTTGCCAAACTATGAGGAGAATTGTACAATGAAAATTAAAGGATTTTTAATAATAAGTTTGGGAACTAGCTATATTTCTTTACACAGTGTTCTGTCCAAGTACACTTATGCAGTCTGGGTTGTTTCTGCATGCAGTGCAACTTCCATGAGAAGCTTTCAAGTGACGCTTGGTTACCCTCTGCACTCCCCCCTCAAAAAAGTACAAATTGCATTATTGAATTGGATATTTAAATATGGATTTAAAATATTTTTAAATGCTAGAAGTTTTGGCCTTAAGTAAAGAGTATAAAAATAAAGGACAAAATCATCAGGATGTGTTTATACAGGCACATTTGGTTAATGTTTTAGACTAAAGGAATTTGAGTTCAGCTAGGAACACCACCAGGTTTAAAATATGTACTACTTTACCTTGTTGAGAAAAAAAGACTTGGAATCAGTATTTCAAAGAGCATGTGAATGCCTTGCAAAGTGCTTGCTAGGTTTTGTTGTTCTTTTCCCAAACTTGCCTTGTTTTGTGGAACAGCAAGATAAAATCAGCTTTGTCCTTTCCTAGCTGTGTGAGGCACATGAAGAACACTGTTTAAATTGTTGTTGGGGCTTTCCAGAGGTCTAGGCCTCCTCAGCGTTAGTGAGTCACGGTGCAGGTGCATTTCACAGCTGGGAACAGTGACAAAGGACAAAGTCAATCGGGTTCTTTTTCTTTTCAAATCTTCTGTAACAGAGAAACACAGATGTGGAGTTACTAAGGAATGAAATTTGATTTCACTTTTGCCTTTCAAAGATGAACCGTAGGAAAAAAACCTCGGTGGCAAGTGTTTGAAAGTCTTATGTGTCCGCCAAAAACCACAAAGTGTATTGTGGGTAATGTTTCGCCTTGAGCAGAAAATGCAGGCTTGCTGAACTTGATACAAGTGACCTGAAAGGCTCATAAATGAAGGGAAAATAAGAAATTAAATAATTGGAATCAAATGCTGACTGGGTTCATCCGCTTCAGCTAAATGCAAGGCTGTTTCACTTCCATCTGGTAGGCATGCAGTTTAAACTGCACAGAAATATCAAAGGCTTGTGGGATTTTACCTGAACCTGGTTTTAGAAATTGTATCATGTCAGAACACATGTACAGGCTGCCACAATTGCAGCCCATGTCACAGCTGTTTTTCTGCCATTCCTGAATGTTTTTCTTCAGCAAAGCATGCAGGAGGCTTCCCTTCCATGTTCTCATTGCTTGAAGTTGGTAAGGCTTGTTATAGTTGCTGCAAAAGGGACTATTCTCTATCACTAAGTCTGTATCAAGTGGTAAATTAGTGTTAGGGATGCTTGAAAGCAATCACTGAACCTCTTTATTTTAAAAATATTTTGAGGCGTGTACAGTTCTTACTCTTTACACTTCAGGACGCCTGCTTATTTTAAAGTAGGTGAGAAGCTATATCATCAACTAAATTAGAGTTCTTCCCTTTTTTTTGAAGTTAAATATATATGTATATTCTAACACAAGCTCTGAAAACATGTGTGTACCAGCTGGGCTCTGCTATCACAAATCTGGATTAAGAAGAAGCTGTCATTTTCCAAAGTCAGTCTACTAAATGTTCTTTGAGCAGATACCTTCTGGAAATACATGTAGAAAAAAATCTGTTTGTGATTAAGAAAGCCAGAAAATTAAATTATCTATAATCCATTCCACGTAGTTCTGTGCACTAATTAGATTACCAAAGAGAAACTCTCTTAAAGGTAGCAAGGGAGAAACTTAGAGACTTGTTCACACACACCTGCATGAATCTGCCAGCCAAATGCCTGCTGTAGAGATGGAAAATCATCTTTTCTGTGGTTACAGCTTTCATGCAGCCTTCCATAGTAACGCTAAGGCAGCTCAACATTACTGCAGCTTGTTTTTAAGTCCTGAGTGCTGAGAATTCAAAAAAAAAAAAAAAAAAAAAACACACACAAGAAGCCTTTCATATGGAAAAAAAAAGAGAGAGAGAAAAAAGGAAGGAAAAATCCCAGACTTGAAGGGTTCATCTGGGTGCACTGTGGAGCTGAAGTGCCATTAAAAAACCATAGTTTTAACATGCTCCTCTCCTCACTAACTCATACTGCATTTTATGTTTGGATTTTGGGGGGCTTTTTAAATTTTGGGGTCTGCCAAACTCATATGCACCACTGGTAGTGCACTGTGAACAAGTTGCTACATTGCAGGCACTGTTGAGTCAAACAGACGCCTGAGAAGACAGACTTCCTCCTGAGAAGAGCTAACAATGTAGAATGACAGTATTTATTAGAGTATATAGATACTACAAAAATGGCTTCACTGAATGAGAAACTTGTGATGAATGAACTCAAGCCTTTTTTTTTTTTTAACTTTAATATCTCAGTTTGATAGTAAAGTCATTCTCCTTGCAAATCTTCCTTCCAGTTCTGGATAGAATCACTCCCAGAGGAGGAAATGTGTTAACGGAAACATTCTTCCCATGCTTTTACTTGTTGTAGTTGTTGTTGGTGGTGCTGGTGTTGCTATTTTTTTTCCAGATAAGCCTGTTCTTCCATAATATCTAAGCATTTGCCAACAACTTTTCCTGTGAAAGGTAGTATTTCCACATCTTCGTTTGTATGCAGTGTAGGCTTGCATAGTCTTTTAAGTCTATTTTGCCTGTATTTTTGCTGCCCTTCAAGGCAAAACAAAGCGAGTGGGAGTGGGTTTGGAGCTGGTGCTTTCAAACACATTTTTTTTTCTATTTAAAGGTCTCCCAAATATTTAATGATGGTGATGGAGTTTATTTGTTCACTAGAAGCTTTCCACTTCTCGGGTGTGCAAATCCTCTTTGCTGTATTATGGCATGGCAATGAGAAGATCCTGTTACAGGGTACACTGATGTGGTGCATCTCATGGCTTACCCTTTTGAATGGCAGTGGAAATATCTGCACTTTGGGGATGGAAGGGTTCGAGATTAAGGGCATGGCACTCAGTTGTATTTAGTTGCTGTCTGCTGGTGTATTTGCATTGAGAGAAAAATCATCCTGGAGTAGTTGTATGCTTTTTATCCAGGTATACAGATTGTGGGGGGGTGATGCTGGTCGTGTCCATTTTCCTTTCTCCCAGCCAGTGAATCTTGGCTCAGGTTGATGATTAGCAGCTAACCCCGCCACAGCTATCATCTGTGGCTGACAGCAGACGTGGGGAGATGTCTGCAGGTCAGTTGGCTGTAGTCAGCACTTGAGTTTTTCTTATCAAATACCCTGTGGAACAGCTTTTAAAAACAAGAACAAGGAGAAATAGAGCAGGTCCATGATTTCATGTCCAGAGGGCCTGTCCTTTCCAGTTTGGGAGGACAGAAGAGGGCAAATTGCAAATTGTAGGAACAGTCACCTCAGGTCCATCCTGGGATTACATTTCCAAAAGTATTCAGTTGTGAGCATCTCCTGAAGAATATAAATATGATAAATTCACAGTGATGTATATACTGACAGTTTTTTTATGCACAATTCTACAGCTCCACCTGCATCTCCTGATTTTCTTTTAACTGCTTACAGACAAATTGAACTGCATTGCAGTGAATCATATGTTTTTTTTTTTCTGGTCTAGGTTACAGTCACAACAATTGGTTATGGAGACAAAGTGCCACAGACATGGATTGGGAAGACTATTGCTTCCTGTTTTTCAGTGTTTGCAATATCTTTCTTCGCTCTGCCAGCAGTAAGTAAATTTCATAATTTTAGTTTCATGATAGGGGAAAGGGTTTGGCAGTTACTTCGGAAACTAAGCTTATACATGCACATATGCTATATGAAATTCAGTGTTTCAGGAAGAAGGTAAGAATTTTTTCACCATTTGAAGAACTGAGATGGAGGGAATTCTGGGGGCGGTTCTTGGTTTCCTGCACACGTCAGCTGCAGAGCTGAAACCTCCTAATTTTTTTCCTATTCCTATTTCCTATTGCATCTACTTTCTTATATGGCGCTAAAGCATTCTTTCTGGGCTTTTTTGGATCCCCAAATACCTGAAGGATGAGACATCAAGATAACATCACCAAAACAATTAGAAAACACAAGGCATTCTTTAGTTCCTAACGGTTTTCATAGACATGCTGTATTGCACAGCTGTATTTCTGTCATATGATGCTGGCATTTGCTTCTCTCCTCGCCTCACTGTGTAGGGTTGCTTTTGTAATGTGACTGCCTCGGTGACTAATGGCACCTGTAGACTGTAGCAATAAACACATGTTGTTTATTGAAGTTTCGTGATGCTAAGATCAACCTACGGAAATGTAATATTTTATTTGCTGGCTAGTAGTTTTCTGTCATTGTGGACATTTGAAAATTTAGAAATGATGTGACTGATTTACTCTAAGTGATTTTTAGATAAGCCTCTTATGGCCTTTCATTTTCTTGTTGGAGTCTGCCCAATACTTTTGTTTATTTTTAGGGTATTTTGGGTTCTGGCTTTGCCCTAAAAGTACAACAGAAACAACGCCAAAAGCATTTCAATAGACAAATCCCAGCTGCAGCTTCCCTAATTCAGGTAAGGCCCCTAAAAGTAAGACAGATAGGAGAGTAACAGAAAACGAGTGTGGTTGAGTGTTTTAAGTTATTATGTGAGAATCACTTACGAGGTTTTATTATAAATGTAAAACTTACCTTTAACCGTCTCATCTTTCTGATACACTTCAGCCACTAGAGGAAATCAGATAATCAGGCATAATAAAACTAGTTAGATGCAGAGAGTTTATTTAACTATATAGCAAGAAAAAAAGTAAAGTCATTTCCTTTACCTTATTTACTAACTTCCTTTTTACGTTGCTTTAGTCCCTGTGCATCTGACAAATACAGAATTGAAGAATGTGCATTTGTTTTAAAGAAATGGCTCAATATTACATTTTGTATCATACATGGAGTGGTAGCCTGGCATACAAATACTAAAATGCGGCATGCTGCAGAAATGTTCTGTAAGGCTTACAGGAATCTGATTTTATGGGGACCATTCAACACTGCAAATAGCAGTTAGGCCCCAGCTCCTAGGAATAGCACTGCAAAGAGTATACTTAAAATCACTGTGTGCTGACTGGGTTTTTCCTAGTGCACATTACCCTTAGCTAAGCTCTCTATGAGGCAAAACTACATTTTATTAGGTATGCTGCTGTGCAGCATAGCACAGTTATTGTAGTCCGAGTCCTCTGCAATGTGCATACATAGATTGGGTAATTTGGTGTCAGCTTGTTTTTTGACCAGTTCTGCCTTATCTGCTTTGTGGGACAAAGTGTCCATTCACTCACTGAGAGAGTTGTTCGGGTTTTATTACAGACCCTGTGGCGGTGTTACGCAACGGAGAAATCATGCAGTTCTACAGCAACATGGAAGATCTATGTTATGCCACCTGCTCAAAATCCCCAAAAAACACCAGCGCCATCTAGCCCTAGCCTGAGAAAACAGGTTATGTGGAGTTGGCAAAGCTCGTTTCTTCTTTTTGCTTTTGATTTTGTTCACATAATTCACCTTATGAAGGATCCAGTAAATATGGAGAGCTGAAAGGGGCTTGATCACTTTCCTCATGTTGGAGAAGGGTGAATTATTCTTAAAATATTCCTGAGGGACAAATGTGTCTTCTACTTTTAAAGTTGACTTCTGTCTGTCTCAGTCCCTGGTCTGATAGGTGCTGATTCTTCATTACTTTGTCCCCTGTGAAGACCTCTTTATCCTCTTAAAAGTAGTTTAAATCACTGATTTTTTCCTATTTTCTATTCACCTGCACAGTAATGCTTACAGGGAAAAGGGAGAAAGAGTTAAAGGCTTTTGTCTGCATTCAGAATTTGGCGGATAACATCTACCGCTGTCTTGCTGAAGTTCTTCTCTCCATGGTACCATGGTACTATCCGTGGAGCTGCAGCTGAAAGTAAAGCTCCCCAAGTGGGACTACCTGTATATAGGTAACCACTGGCAAGCCTGCATGACCATGTATCCACTGTCTCCATGAGGGACGCCTATTTCTAAACTTTTTATTGCCCTGTTTCATTTCCAACATGCTTTCATTTAATTCCTCACAGAGCTGAATAGAAATAATTTCAAAGGACTAAACACAGATCAGAGTGAAGTAGGGTTGGTTATCTTGGACTAAATAGTTTTGTCCCATTTGTGATGGTATTGAACCAGTGTCCATTTGTGCCTGTATATGCAAATACTTATTCTCTCTTAATTGCCTATCTGTGCCATCAGAAGCCAGAATACTTTGCAAAATCAAGCACAGCTCTCAGCTCTCAGCTTCTTGTCAGAAGGCAGGTAGAGCCCCAGGCAAGTGAAAGGATGCCTGCTCCCTCTGTCTGGAGGCATGTGAGCAAAGGAGCTCTTAGGGCTAAAGTGCGTGGGTGCTCTCATGGCATGTATGGCACTAAATGCAGTGTCGTGGGAGGTAATGTTTAGGTGGCTAGAAGGTGGCAATGGCTGGTCATCTAGAGTCAGAATCCAGAGGTAGACGGATGCCATGTAGTTGCCACATAGTAAACATGTGAGTGGCTGCTCTTCTGATCACCTCTAGTCATGAAGACAGATGAACACCAGTCTTGTTCAGAAAAAGTCAAATTCAAATTTTCTTTCCTTCTCTTGCTATATTCATTTAGGATTTCAAAATTGAGAGAACTGCTGTGGATGTTAGAGAGAGAGGTTCCTCTTCTCTCCCTCATGCCTAATCCAGCAGATTTCATCTCTGCGTAACAGGGCTTTAGCTGAGAAGACTGCACTGTGCCTTGCTCATGATTTCGAGTTTATGGTTATGTTTTTATTATCACTTTAGAAGATAGTCAGAGCCAAGCAACTGTATATTCAATTGATTAATATTTTAGGTGCCTGGAGTTTTGGACTTAGTTTGAAAAATCATAATTGAGACCTGTTTTTTCAGAGCTCTAGCATATTATCTTAAGAATCAGTCCCTTTTGCCATGTTTAAGTGAAAATCTGGAATCAGACACTTTGAAAACATTAGCACTTTCTTGGTATTTTAATCACATTCTTAAAAAAATACCTTTAGATAAAAATGCTCTACAGCGAGGTTAACACATTCACTTTTATCAATTTATTTATTTAATAATACCTTCTGATGTTATCCCCTGTTTATTGCTACAGACTAAAAGATGCAAAAGGAAAGGGAAATCCGGCTTTGGTAATGGTTCTGCACCTGTAATGAATCCTGGAGAGACTGCCCTGTCTGTCCCTCAGATCACTTATGACCATGTTGATGAACAAGAAGACAAAAAGGATGTGTCTTTCTATATAGAAGAGCCAGGAGGTAATTTTTTTCCATTTATGTTTGTTAGCAAGTTTTGTTACAGACATTGTAAAAGAGCTGAACTGATGAAGAGAATTTCTGTAAAAAAATAAAACTACTCAGTAAAACAAAATGGCTGAAAACAAAGACAATTGCATAACAAAAACAGAGGGGCTCAGTCAAGTAAAGGAAAACTTTTAGATCCATGTTCTGTGAACATCAAAACGTTGGAAAAAAAAAAAGGTTTGTTTTTGTTTATCACAATGTACGACTATGCACAAAAATCATAATTGAGTTAATTTTACCTTTCTGAGTTATGTCAGAGCTTGCCGGAAAGCTCACTTAGATCTACCCCACCTTTGAACTTAACTCTTATCAACTCACACAGAGCCTAAAGGGATGATTTTTTCTCTTTTTACTTGTTTACATCATCTACTTAAGAAATGTATAAATCAGCAGTGATAGAAACAACAAATATTTTATGCTTAGGCTAACCAGAATGTTTGAGGGTTTTTTTTATTGCATCATTAAAATATGCATTGCTGCAATTGTATTTCAGCCTGGGAGCTTGTTGAATTTCATTGCTGAGCTCAGATATAGCTGGGTTTATAAAATTCTTTTTTTATGAAGCTTGTGGTGAAAATGTAGATCCAGTAGATATTTGGCTGAAGTAAAGACTGTCATCATATTCTAGGAATTGTTTTCCCTACCTAGAGGCATACAAAGCCTACCAGGGTAGCTGAAGGTGCTGGCTCTAGTCACAGGTGTTTGCTCTCTTCCTTATTGCTTTGTATTTGACTTTCTTGCATCTCTGATAAATCTGAACACTACCTCCATGTAAAATAAGGCTCTTGCATGACAGTGAGGCTGATGTATAATTTCAGCCTGGGGGGAGTGTGTGTATATGGCTGTGCATGTTCTTGTGACATGATTTTCTTTAGAAAATATTTTAAAAATATTCAAAGGCAGTATGCTGCATCTGTTGTATTGAGCACATTCTGGAGTGGTAGTTTCACCGTCTGGTTCTGTTTTTATAGAATTTCTAGGCTGTGTTATCAAAGTAACCTATGATGTTCATGCTAGAGCAGTCAGTCTGAAGTATTTGGCGCTGAGAGAGGTTCTAAGGGGTAGGAGCTACTCCTTGCTCCCACAGGAATTTAGGCAGACTTCAAGCTGCTATTCTGTACAGGGGATTGCCATGTGCCTGCTTCTGTGAGAGGAAGAGATTCACTCTTGATGGCAGTTTTCATTCCCCCTCCTGCTACCTATGTTCTGTCTTTCCTTATGTCATTGTGTTGAGATCAGAGAGTTTTTTGAGCAATTAAAGTATTTCTTTTTGTTCTAGTTGTTGCTTGCAGTCTCCAGTCCTTTAACAAGGCTCTAGGAAAGAGTTGGAAAAAGCGTGATTTATAAATAACGTTGCCATTTTAAGAACATGACTCTTTACTGCATTCACAGTTCATTCTCAACAGCCTTGTTGACTAGAGCTACACAGTGGCCTTTGCTGACATGTAATTGCAGGTTTTGCTGAGTGTATCTTGGTATTGTGGCATCAGTCACAACAGTGATAAAGAGTTGAATAACTGAATGAAATATTCTTTAATAGTACTCTTAGTCCTCAACTTCATTAACTTCTCTGTTCAGTGTTCATTCATCCGCCAGCACACATTTATTCACTTAACGTGTATTCCTTAAATGTTCATAGTTTGAAGACAGTGCTGTGTATCAGAAAGAAGGGACTAAAAAGACTAGCATGTATTTGTTTTGTTTTTCCTTCTCGCGGCTAAGTCACAGAGAAAAATGAAGGCATTTTCCCTTCTTCTTTTTATTTTTTTTTCTGAAAATGCTTTTCTATTGTATTTTTATTTTCTAGTTGGCTTGTTTTATTCTTCTGAGAAGCAATCGTGCATGTTTTTCTCTTTTCAGTTATTTTTTTTTGTCTATTTTTCTTTTCACTTTGCCTTAGCAAGTGTCAGGGTAAGTTACACTTCATTTGATTTTCCTGATTTTTTCCTTCTGTTGCAAAGCTGCCAGGAATGTCGCTGCCTAACTCGATTGCTCAATTGACTGAACATTCTTGACACCTCTCAAAAGTTTAAACCTTCCTTCTCTTAGCAAAGTTCTCTTTGCCAGACCTAATGGACTTCTATTTTTGGGAAGTGGTAGCACCAGGCTACAAGCCTTCAGATGAGGGTGGGTTTTTCCTCTCTTAAAAAGCTAAAAGGAGAAGAGTCAGAGAATTAAAATAACAAAGAAATGGCAATTGAAAGGGGTCATGTCAGATTTCCATTTCAGTGTGCTGTAGTGGAATATTTTGTTCATTCGTTGGGATGGCTGGATTTTTCACAGATGGCAAACCTTCGAAGTTGAATTGAATCATTTCTATCGGTCTATCTAGCAAGAACAAACGTGTTGCTTTAAACCCAGCTCTTCTTGCCTGCTGCTACAGACAGGTGTGAGAAAGTGTGTAAGGAGACCTGAAACAAATGTCTGGCAACTACACATGAATGAGTAACTGTTCCACAAGGAATATTCTATGTCCTGGGTAGAAAATAGTTTAAAGCAGAGATAAAGCTGCTTAGATTAAGAGAAGGGTTACCCTGATTCAGGAATGATATGAATGAGCACACCTTTTTTTTTTTGGCTAGGAGATGAGTTTTTATTAGGATATCCTTTTCAGGTTTCAGTGTTCATACAGCATGTTCTTGGCATGTTTAAAAAATTTTCTTCGGATGCTTATTTTTCAAGACCGGACAAAAATGCTAATGCTTTCCTCTTCTGTATCTCTGAAGTGAATGTTTGAGAAAGGAAAGCCTTACAAAGCCTACAGGCATGATCAGTAGTAGTAAAGGTTTGTGAGGCACCTGCATATGTCTGTATATGTGTAATAAAAAACTTGTATAGGAAATTCCTGACTAAATAAACTAATGTATTTTTTAGGGCTACATTATCAATAGAAGGTGAAGTACTAAGGGATATTAGAGAGTCTATGGGACAGACAATAGGAGTAACAGGGATTCCACTATCCTCCCAAGTACACTGGGTAGAATAATGTGGAACCCAAATCTTTAGATGCAATAAATGACTGCATCTTGGAACAAGCCCAGAGAAAGCCCAAAAGAAGAGAACAGTTCTTGATTGAGTTCTACACTGCATGTCAGGTTGAGGATGTGGCTATTCAAGAGTGGTTCATAACAGGACAAAATTGGCTGTCCTTGCAGGAATGAAAGGGCCAAAAAAATCTCTCTTTTTTTTTTTTTTGGAGTCAATTTTCTCAAAGTAAGGCTATTTAGAAATAAATTTAAATAAACTAAAGGATGCATGGATTTAAAATTTAAAATTTTGGAAAATAACTGTGGCACTGGACATTGGACTTGAGTGCAACAAGCTCTCCCTGGATTTTTATTGCCTTAAAGCAAGAACTTTTGTACACCAGTGTGCACATTTTAAGTAGTTTTTCTGTATTGATTTGAACCTCTCCTTGGTTCCATTCTCATCTAAGATTACTATAGCCTTTCTTAGTGTTCTTCACGGTCTAGAAATTAAGCTTTAACAGCATATCCGTAAACCACTGCATAATGTGTATTCTCTTATGCAGTACAGTGAGTTACCAGGATGACAAGGCAAGTATGAACTCTCCAGCATCTTTAATGTGCCTTTAAGATTTAAAGAAGCCACTTAAGTACTAAGACGATAGTTATTTATGATATCAAGAATGAATGACAGGTCATAAAGACCAATCCAAAGAAAAGAATAAAAATAACATTTGAATGTAACTAACAGTCTTTTATAGACACTGTTTCATCTTCAAATAACTATCCACTGTAATGCATGCTTCTCAAAATGAGCTGAGTGGCTATTTCATAACATTTATTATTCAAAGAAAAAAAATCTATAAAATGTGGAAGTTGTCAGAGCCTGAAGGTCAGCCTCCTGAGACTTTTCGAACAGATGGAACTTATCTTTCTCTGTCAGTTATTGTAGATCATATACACAACACATTACTGTAAAAAAATCATCAAAATCACAAGACCCTCACAGTGATAAATCACTGCTGGGATGAAAATGAAAAGTTTTCTATTTATCACAATGCTTTTCTGTTTCTTTTTTTTGGGGGGGGGAGGGGGAGCAGGGGGAGAGAAGGGAAGAGGGAGAGTTTCTTGGCTGCTGATGTGTTTCTCCCTCATATTTAAAGCAAAACTGTGTAAAAGTAACTTTTCAACTGGAGGAGGAAAGAACTTTAATTTGGATGACCCCCAAAATGCCTTCGTAAGCCTTCTTATATGGATGCATAATAGTGTTAATGTTGATTTATTTTGTCTGTAATGTTCGTTTTGGGTGCTGACATTCCAGAACGGACCCATCCAGCAAGTGGATTGTTTGTTCCTAGAAACTTGTTGCATTTCCATGGGGAAAATATCTGCTTTTCCTCTGTGGTGTGGATGGATTACAATCCGCAGTACATATGAAGAAGCAAACATTTTAAATGAAGTGGATTCATAAAGATTCCAGTGCTGACAAGTTGAGTGAAAGGTGAAAAGAATCATGTGGCTAAAATCAACTAAACAAAGCAAGCACCAAAGTTTTTGAGGATCTGCATAGCTGTCAGTAAGGCAGAAAAAGGTAAATATGAAGATATGCTCCAAATTAGCAAGAGAAAGTACCCCGATACCTTGCTTCTGAAAAGCTTCACATCCCTTAAGAAGCTGAGTTTAGCAGATGCTGGCAGTTTTGCAGCAAGAACCTATATTCATCATAGAGCTGTTTAATTTCTAAAACTGGCAGTCCAGGACTTGTAGGTAGACTGATACTTGCTTGTGGGTAAAATATGTGGTAACATACTTACATGTTTCTACCAGAAAGATTTCATTTGCTGCCTCTCAGCCCTGGCTATCCTGAGTATGAGCTTTCTGTAATTATTGTTTTTCTATGATCAAATAGGCTAAGAAGAGCTAAGAGAGGGGGTGATGGTAAGGGCAGATGGAGGCTGGGAGGAAGAGATGGCCATCTCTGCCAAGCAC